TGGAAATACAAGGTTAATGTAATAGTGCCTAGAGTAGAGGCAACTTTCTGGAAAAACTGTGGTTATTCTATCACTTATAAAAGGGCAAATTTACCCAATGATGCAACCAAAACAACCCCAAGAAATAAGCTGCATGATTAAGAGATAGCGGGACAGATTTAACATGCCTAAGATCTTAATGTTTAAGCAATTAATATTGGCTTTAACCTCTTAAAAAGAAATAAACTACCACATGGGCTGCTAGGTAGGCGTTACATTGCAACTTGTAGTGATCTGTATTTACAACCAATGCACAATACTAAAATCATCAAGTAGATATCATTACTCTATGGAATGGTTATAAAAATGGCATCACAATATTAAAATTTGGAAGAAAACATTCAGCATTCATATTCACATTAAGAGAGCATAATTCATCACTGTTGATAACCGACATACCCTAAATCATTGAGTGCTAAAGCAACAGCACAATAGTTGGGGATTCCACTCCTCATAACCTGGTAAGGAATGAAAGGCATACTGTTAAAGATTCACTTTTACTGGGACAATAAAAGTATAAGTGGTCCACAACCACATCATTAAACAGTGTTCAACAACCACACCATTAAACATTATGAAGTAAGCTGCATAATGTTTACTTACATCATATGTGTCTACAAGAGCTAGAAAGTTATCAGGGAATGCCAATGCATATGATGTGAAGGCTGCTAGCTCACTTTGATTGGTCTCACCAAAAGTGCCATTTAATGAATTCGACCACTGCAAAGCACAGACGAATAATTGTTGTCAAGATTTGATTGTACTCATCTTAGATCCTAGTAAATATGTAAAACAACTAACAATAGGATTGCAGATCGCATACACACATACATATTTGATAAAACTGAAAGGGTTTAGTAGTCCAACTAAAATTGAATGTCTATGAACATATACGCCATTAAAATGGCACAAATTTATATAACTTAATCAGTAAAAGAAATTAGAACCCAAGAAGAAATGAGAGAACACGCAATTGAGAAGCATTAAAAAAGCATACAGATTTTATCTAAAGAGAAAAATCAAACACCTGAATCTTGCTTAACCAAGTCTGAGCCAGGCTAACAAAATCCTCACAAGTGCTCTGGCTATCACTGCTACGAAGTGATTTATCTATAATCTCGTCAGGGCTCTGCAAATCATTGTATAAATGAGACAGAGAATAGCTTCACATATAAAGGCACAAAAATCATGATGAAGAAAATATAATGCTCATAACATCTAATATTTCACTGTCATAGAACAAGGACTTGACACTAAACTCAATCTACTAAGGTTTCATAAGATATCACATTATTAATTTCCCTGATCAGATGGAATTCAATTACATTAAGGCCATGAAATCTATCTCAGATTTCAATGAATAAAAGATATAATTTTTAATGCTCATGTTTCAAATGAAAACGTCGTGCTGAAAAAAGGAAGAGAACTGTTTCCTAAAAGATGAAAAACCTTATATTATAAGGATACCAGTATTTTAATTGGTAAAATAGACTTACTAGTTACTCCCCTAGCTCTGATTATATAACTGTAGATATGCACAAAATTGATAATCCTAATTTAAAGCCTATAAGGGGTTATGCAGAATAGATTCCAAGTCTGGTAGTGGGTGGATTAACCACCAGGGCACCCCCACACTGACAATATAAAGAATAGATCACAAGTCTATGCATTTGAAGTTGCTCTTTCTAACTCCCCAATAAGGTTGCAAGAGTTGCGTACCATAAATGAGCTGACAAAAGCATGAGAATGTGTTCCACGAAGTGGTATCCCAAATAACTTCCCAGCTGCAACATTACTGTCAAAACATAATATAGAAATAAAGATAAGTTGTTCCAGATGTTTACTCAGAACAATAAAAGGGCTGCTGACGTATGTGACAAGTGTTAAAAAATGAAGGGTCTCAACTCAAGGGAGATTATACATATTTTTCCTATTTCATCTACCATCGGTCATGAACAAGTTTCAAGTCAATTAAAATTTTTCCAGTCGTCCAATTGCGTGAATATGATTATATATTGTATACAGGAAAGTAAATTTTTTATGAAAAAGTACAAAATTATCCAAAAGAATTGTGAACAAATGAAAATCACAATGCAAATATGCCGAGCTTTCAATAGACATTACCTTGTTGCATGAAATCCTCCCATGTAGCAGTACTTTGATGCCCCTATTCCCCCATCAGGTCCCTATATATCAAAATAAAGACATATTTGTTAAGAAGATAATCCCAGTTTAGAAATTAAGAACAAATAATTTAAAATGTGAAAAAGTTGAGCTTGTCACAGCCCAAGCTTGTGTCGGATACCTGAGCCCGTCGAAGACCAAACTCAAGTAGCATTTTAGATTCTCCAGCAACAAAACGATGCCTTGCAGCATTAGTAGCAACTAATGATGCATAATTAATAAGATTCAAGAATGGAGTTTCCAGCAACTGAACCACCTGAAACAATAAAGCAAATATAAATTAGAAAACACGCTAAAAACAAGTAGATTGACTACAATAACCAAGCAAAAAATTTTATAAAGAACAAAAAAACTAGTATAATGGTTCTCACAGCAACTGGCCCTTCAACTCTTAGCAAGGGAACCTTTGGAAAAACAACTGAACCCTCTGTAATGGCATAGACTTCAACTCCTGAACAGTCAACTCCTCTAAGATAATCATAGAATCCATCCTACAGTTAATCAATACAACTCAATTATTCAACTATTAAACTATTCGACACGCATGCAAAATTACAATTTTAAGCTAAAACATGCACTAAAATTATAATGCAAATTACAATGAAAGTTTAAGAATTGGTTTACCTCACATGAAGGAGATAAAGATTCACGAACGAAATCGATTTCGTCTTCACTCAATTTGAAATTAGCAATGAGTCTGATGCATTCTTCTAAACCAGCAAAGATTGTGTATTCACCACCGAAGGGGTTCTTACGGAAATATAAATCGAACCTGAAACAAATTGATATGTCACATACTTAAATTACTATTATCATTCTAAAGAATGCAAAGCTCTGTTGGTTGCTGAGAAAGTTGAGAACTTTCTCGGGAACCAAACGGGGCAGCGTAAGTGGGTAAGTAGAGAGAGAGAGAGATAAGACTGACACGGCTCGTTCGTTATGTTTGCCGGCTTTCCAGTAGGCGTAGGCCATGGTGAACTGGTAGAGATCCGTAAGCAGAGGCGTAACCATTGGATTGGTGGGGCCAGCCAGGACCCGACCCGAATGCTCCCCAATCGGACCGTTCGATTTCGCCGCCATATTTGATACTCTCAATTGGTTTTCGTTCTTCTTCTTCTTCTTCTTCTTCTCCGCTTAGCTATATAGGCAAGTAAATTATGTGTATGTACATAGGGGTGTGTATATATTTATATATATAGGAGTGTGTGTGTGTGTGTGATTGTAAATTCAATTGAAATTAAGCCAACGTGTGCCTTACGATGACTGAAATGAGAGAGACCGTTCAAACCAAAGAAGAAGAAGAGGAAGAGGGATTGCCTTCATTTCATCGAAACGCAGGTGGCGAGAGAGATAGAGAGAGAGGGCATCTAATTCTAAATTTCAATGCTAATGCATTGGAGACCCACTGTACCTTGACGTGTCGCTATTGTCTTATGCAGGCCCCCTTCTAACGCGAACCATATGTATTTGTTCATATCTGTCCTGTCAAAAGTCATCCCCCTTTTTTATTCATTAATGCTGAAAAATTGAGCAATGCCCCTACAACGGCGAGTAGGGGCAGATATGTTGGATATTTGGCCCCTAAAATAAAGGTGTGGGATGTTATCGCTTCTCTTAATAGGAAATGTTTTAAGGGGAAAAAAAAAAGACTAGCGGTGAGGGAGTATTTATCTCCTACATTCATGACAAATTTCTGTATATCATCCTCCCTCCTTTCCTTTTCTCTAGAATCTTGATAAGAAACATAAATACATTTGTTGGTTTCATTGAATCTGCTCCAAAATCACAAAGTCGAGATGTTAAATTCAGAAGCTCCTTGTCCTCAGAAAGAAAAACAATGAATATGGTAAAAGGCAAAGTAAAAACCCATTTGATTTTGATTATGGTTCCTGGAATTTCTCCTCGTTTTTTCTTTCTTTCTTTCTTTGACTATGGCATAAATTATTCTCGCATGACTGTTTTGGTTCTGTGTTTCAAACTTCCAATTTTTGACTTCCTTGACCCTACAGTCAGTCGCATGAATTTTTCAGTCGCATGTAGAGAGCGAATTTCTATTGGTGGAAATTCACTTTTCTTGTTCAACCACACAACCTTAAATAACATCCCATTTGACTGATAAAACTTTACCAGAAAAGAAAACTTGGAAGTATGGAAAAAGTTATTCCAATCCAAGCTCAACCTTGAAAATTTCAGTCATCAATACATAGGTCCTTTGTATTTATGAAATTTCACAATAATAAAATATTACACAATCTTGAGGTAGCTTTGACAAAACTTGATGTCATAATTTATAAACAAGACGTTCATATAATTCATATATGAGGAGGAGATAATTTCCAAATAAAAAAGAACCACAAAATAGAGGGAAAGATAGAGTTTACGTACATGTCTCATCCCTACCTTGTACTACTTCTACCAATTAAGTAACAAGCCTTGCCAAAGCATTGAAGAGAAAACTCATCAATTGCAGGTTAACTTTGTGGCATGCCTGTGATTCGAGCACGCAATTGAGGCTCTAATCAATTTGGAGAATTACAAAAGCTGTTACAAGTTGTGGCTACACCAAATCCAAAATGTTAAGAGTAGCCAAGCTTAACATGCATCATATGTGTGCCTTCTTTCAGTCTTGATGTTATCATTTGCAACCCTTCTTCTTCCTGTGAGCATACTAGTAAAATGTGAAAGTACGGCGCCTGCTTTACTATGTGAAGAAAGGATAAACATCTTATTCATCAGGTATGCTTACCTATCAATATGAAAATTTTGTTTCATAGCCTTTAAAAGTAGACCTTCCTGCCGGTTTCTTCCTGTGATACATGCTCCCAGAGAACTACTGCCTTTCGGATCAGATACTTGTGTGTTAAAGGAAAGCGAGACTCTAGCTGTCGCTCCCAATTCAAATTCTTTCAACAAAAACAAACATACATGTTAGACCAAAACTACCCTAAATACATGTTGTTAGAGTTATTGGGATGGGGAACTGTCGGATCAGAGACCCACCTAAAGGATTCGTCTCCGAATGATTTACATTAATTTGTTGATGCTGCAACATGTCCTCCCTACAGATTTCCTTTATACGGGAGTAATGTAAAAAGTTTAGTATCATTTCCTTAACTCTGTATGCATTATTAACAGGGCCATAATTTTACCTCGGATGAGTTTGGCAGTTGAAAGGGTCCCAAGTGAGCCTGCATTGACGATTCCAACCCAAACGAGGTTTCTGAATTGACTACATTTGACATGTCTGGTACATATGACTGGTTTGCATTGGTGCATTGGTTGGAGAAATGGAACAAATTTTGTGTTGGAGATTCCTGGTTCATAAGTGGTGTGCTTGTCATGTCCAAATGCAGAGGCCTATTTTCTTCACCAAGGTCCATTCTCATCTGGGAGAGTTGGACAGGTTGCAGCGCTCCAGGTAGGCACATAGGATGCAGACTCATGCCATTTCTCATTGATAACATCTGAAATGTGAATCACATCTAAATCAATCAAAACCGAATTCTCAATTTTAATTGATGCTACAATAACTAGTTCAGCTGGCATTTCTCTATTTGTTATATGCAGAAATTCCCATACTGTTCATAGGCAAGGGTGAAAAGGAATTTTTTAAGAAAAAGAGAGATTCTTCAAGCTGATGTAAACAGTCAATGGTGCAAAGCAATAAAAACATCACATATTTCATACAGCATTAGGGCTCCCTTTTTGGACTCAAGGAGCAAAAATTAATCACAAAGGATTAATACATCTTAAATTTCATCCGAGCTGAGACTGTCATGTGAGACTGCATCAAGAAACTTTTTGAAGGGCAGAGCGGCAAGAAACTTTGCCACAATGTCTCTCTTTGCTCTAATATTGGATCCTAGTGCATTCACATGCTCCAACCATGCAAATCACATTGGAGTTGTTTTCCTATTTCACTCTCTCAATTCGATTTTATGATACAACCAGCAAGAAAGGTCTTGGAGGAGATCTTGGGATATGACCACACCGTGTGAAATTTAATCAACATTTTACCAGGAAGAGTATTTTGAAGCTTCACGGTACACTAAAATGCAAAGAAGAAAGCTGCATACCTGCACTTGGAGCTGAAGCTGCTTGAGGTACTCAATGGCTTCATCAAGCATTGAAGCCTTATCCGTCTGCCACATTACAAAAAAGACGATTTGTTCTCTCAAAAATCAAAATGACTCAAACAAACAAAATCAAAATCAAGCATCTTGGTATGTTTAATGTACCTTATTAGAATTTGGGATAAGATTTTGCAATGCCTTCATTTTCTCATTAATCCTACTCCTCCTCCTCTGCCCAACAAACCCAACACATCAAAACCCGAAAACAAAGTGGTTTCCCGTAAAAAAAAAAGAAGTAAACCCATGTTGAAAATTTCAAATCCCATAATAATTTTGGAAAGAGGTTCTCAAACTACAAAAGCCAACCTTTTCAGACATATTATGAACTTCTGCAGCTCTGCTTCTCTTTGAAGAACTTCGACCACACCCTGGCTTCCCTGCCGCCTCTTCCACCAATGCTTCAAGACCCTCCTAAATTTATAATTCCTCAACATATTAAACTTAAAAAAAATTTCATATTACCAGAAAATAGAAAAAGAAAAACTTGAACTTTTATTCTGTGTTTCTAATTACATCTTATTATTTCAGTCAAATACTGTCTTTCATTTGATAAGAAACTTAAACTAAACAAAGCAAATGCATTCTGCTCCATAAACTTTGAAAAAGGTTTCATGATACTCTAATTTTCTTCTACTTTCCCTACAATTTCTCAGCAAGCAAACAGACAACAAAAAGAAAAATTCAAACTTTCCAGTCTTAAATTACCTCGCTTTCACAATCATACTCGTCCGTCTCATTCTCACTCGCTCCGAACGAAGAGGAAGACACATTGGGATTCCCCGCCGGCATAAGCGCGGCGGAAGAATCAACGGCCGTGATCCCGTCCCCTAGGAACATGGAGTGGCACGGACGGCTGAGATGATCAGGCAGAGCAGCAACGGACGGAGACGATGAAAACAAAAACTGCGGGGCCTTGCCCGTGTGGGCCACCACCGAGGCCAGAGAACTAGACGAACGGAGCAAAATCTGCTGCAGAAAAAGAGAGATTTCGTCGGACGTCGAAGGAGGCTGAGCAGGAGCAGGAGCAGCAGCAGCAGCTGGAGAAACTGAGGCAGAAGGTGAAGAAGAACAAGTGGCATTTTTGTAATAATGATCATAAGTATCCCCCATCACTCTGGTTTCTTTTTCTCCTCTGTTTTTGGTTCTGGTGTTGTTTTGAGGTTTTGGGTATGTGTGTGTGTGTGAGAGAGAGAGAGAGAGAGAGAGAGAGAGAGAGAGGGAGTGTTGGCGTGTTTGCTTTGGGCTTTTAATTTGGAGTTTGACGATTTGTTGCGTCTGGGAGTGTGGCAGAGTGGGCTGGTCTGCATTTGTCTGCAGATTAAATTAAACTTAAATTAACTAACGTTAATTAAATTAAAATCAAAGCGGATGATGATAATATATAGAAGAACAGTAGCAGTCGCACTCAGCATTGCACGTGAGGCACACTAGACCTTTAGCTGCTGCTACTGCTGACTATGGAAATTAAACATGTTGCAGAGTCTTCTGACTCTTCCTTCCCCAATAATCCGTACCATCTAACTTTGTCATTTAACTTTACCCATTTTGTTTGTCTAATTTCAATCGGGTTTTACTTTGTTTTGGTTGGTGTTAACCAAATTGAACATGCACCCAAGTAGCTATAAGTTTAATGGTACTTGTTCTTTTTCTGATGTTAAAAAAAAAATCGAATTTAATTGAATCCCCCATTTGATCTTTATGTTCTGGTTTCTTCTAGAAAAGGGATTTTTGTATAAACGTCATCTGAACTTATATCATAGTTTCAATTTGTTACTTTAAAGAAAAATTTAAGAGATATGTCATTTTAATTTTTCAAAATTTATGATTTGTCATCCGACTTTAACAAGATTAATTTCTTCATATATTTTTAAGGATATTTTAATCTTTTTATTTTTAAGAAAATAAATAAGGAAAAAATAGACTCTCTTCTCTCACCCTTTCTCCCCCACCCCAACCCCACCCGCCCCAAAACACATGGCACTAGACTTCCCTTCCCCTCTTCTCTCTCTCTCTCTCTCTCTCTGTGTCCATTTTAAACTAGCTATCCATATATACATATGCAACGCACATTTGTAAATTTAATTTCACTTTTTTGCTAACAATTTGTAAATTTGGTTTTCATACGAGCCTACATTGCTCCCAAGGTGTGTTGAAAAAGAGAAAGAAGATGGAACTCTTGTCAAATGTCAAAACATGTCAGGCAAATTTGGAACTACAAATCCGAGAGACACGACACTCAATGTGAGTGATGCTGCGCGTTGTTTAGCAATAGCCACCTATGAAGGAGGATATGATGATCTTTGAAGGGAAAGGACCACAAGTACATCCACAAGTCTAAATTGGATTTTGACTAAAGTGGAATTGCTGATTTTTTATTGATTGCTTTTGTACGTAGCTTGTAGTACCACCCCTAGATAAAATCAACAACTTTTGCCACTATCATTAGTCTTTTTTATTTATTAAAAATCAATAATAATAAAACTGAAACATGCTCTTATATCTCATCCATGTATTGTAATTTTTACATAAGCATCATGTGTGTGATACTTCTGATTATATAATGAATATATGTAAAACATAGTATATGTAAAGCGATGAATTTTGTCTGCATATCAAAATATTTTGAAGTTTCCAAGTGCACCTTTTCTTTCGCATTCGAACTTGATCTTCCTTTATGTATATTAAATTAGTTTAAAATATTACTTTATAAAAAATAAAAAACCCTAAATATATAATATTTGTTACATAAAAAATCTATCGGACAATTCAACAATATTACAAAATAGAAAATCTTTACCTTTTAGAAAATTGAAAGAAGAAAAAAGCTAATTAGTAATTATGTAACGACTGGGATTATAATTTTGTACTGGCTTAACGTTGTTTTTCACGTCAACATAATTGTTTTGTAGGTAATTAGTAAATGGGACAGACAAGGGACCAGACCACTCACATCCCTGTCGCTGTCATGTCCAAGCCAACGTCACCTTAACCAGACACAAAATAATGTAACCAAAATATTGATCTTTCTTCATCAAGATATGTGTCTTCTTCTGATTGGGTTAGACGATACCTTCTTCTACTACCCTACGTGCGGGACCACCAGAGTATCCGTGTCACCATCAACACACGTCACGCACGTCTGACCAACACCTACACACATCTTTTAGTAGGCCCTGGTTTAGGATACCGACGTGTCAAAAAGATATGATGATTTGAGTACGTCGTCAATGTCGTCTCCCATAAAATGAAAAGTGGTAAGATTGGTTACCCTAATTAGGCCAATCCATTTTAACTCTTCACACCTCCTCACCACGAGCGTCTTCACACAATCATGTGGGTCGAAGCGCGCAAGCTTTCAAAATCGAAGCCCCTTTCCAGTGTCAAGGACTCGAGCTTCGAGCAAGAAGAAAACGGACGAGGCTCTACTTCTCCAACAAACTTAACATCACACAAAACAAGGTTCGTGAGTGTGCTAAATCGATCAACAAAATATATTATCTGCCCTCAGTTTGCATGTACGCAAGGAGAGATGCCTCAGTTTTGATCCTTCACCACTGATCAGAAGCAGATGTGTAGGAAAGTTATAACAGTCAATTGTTGTCCAATCAGTACGCTCCGATAATTCGTCACAACTGAAGGCAAGCTCAAGGGTTACAGAAAAGTTGATCCAGCCTTTGAAGTAACGAGGATGCTCGTTTCCAATGCAGCATTGAACCTTGAAGGATTCAATCTTGGTTCCCGAATGTGAAGCCAAGACTGCTTCTATGCTTCTTTGGAAATATCTCACATTCCTAATGGAAACCATTCCATGAGTATATGTGTTTGCGTAATTCGAAATTATGTTAGGCCAATCAAATTCCAGTCTTGACTTGTGTGCATAAATGTTCTTCCACCTTCGTGATAACTTGCTAGTGCGTATCGCATCTCTCATACTCAGCAAGTTAACAATTGTATGAAGAACATCATCAGGCAATGCACTAATGTGATCCTTGTCATTGTGGTTGGAGGTGTCAGCTGATATTCCACTCTCTTTTCATGGTTTCAATCTGATCAAGAAAATTGCAATGAAATTAGTAAGAGTTTTGATTTTCTTATGGCACATCATAAATGTTATAAGGCTAAAGTATCATTTTCACATATACATGGTGTTATAAATCCTATATCACTGCAGAGCATCCAATTCTCACAACAAGAACAACACAAAGCCCAGGCGAATTGTCTTCTCATAGGCTTCTGTGTACTCACCAGTAGATTAGCAAAATTAGCTAGCTCCATTTCCCTCTCCCAGTAAGACCCCTTGACTGACCAACGCGCCGGCCGAGCAGGAAAAGGAGATCGAATTCATTAAGCAAAACAATTAACAACGATAAGAGTACCAACATATACATTGACAACGAAATCCTCAATCAAGAGGGAAAAACAGAAGACCAGCTACAAGAATAACATATACATTAACAAAAATCATCAATCAACCGAGAAAGGCATTGGTCACCTCAGATGATACAGAAATTAGATAAAAATAATATTCAGAGAATTAAAGTTGAGGAAAGGCGTTATACCAGCTCTGGTTTCAGAAGTAGTTAAGTGGAGACGAGAAATGATTGATGCCTAGCTAAAATGTGTTTCTCTGATGTCTCTCTCACTTTGTTTTCTCCGACGTCTCTATCGATGTCTCCCTTTGTTTCTGTTGTTTGTCTGAAACCAAGTGAAAGGGAAAAGCGGTTTATATATGTAAGAGTGGACTGCAAAGCAACTCACACTGACACATTGTATGAGCCTCGTGTCAGGCTGTCAGCTCCATCTCAAATTCCCAGTGAATGCATCCACCTCAGCTATCTCATATTTTTCCCTTTCCAGATTCGTCTTGGTTGGTTCCAAATTTCCTGAGTGTAACGCATTTTACTTGCCTATATATATATATATATATCTAATTTTGATTAATCTTATTGAGATTTATTGTCTTTTTCTTGAACATTTAGTCCACTTTTTCTGGCTCACGAAAGGGTGCACATGGAACAATATTACTCTTCTGCCTTGAACCTAGCTAGGTTATTCAGAGGGAACTTCATGACCTAATTTAACACTGGGATAATCCTTAGATGTCAATGCAAAATGGAACAAAAGACTGGACTTAGATGTAATCTTAATTCTTATCTATTGGTGCTTGCGCCTACTGTATTTCTTTGCGGGGTTTTGTCTCTTCGCACAGCCCCAGTGTATTTATTTTTCTCTTTTTTAAATAATAATATAGGGGGATAAGTGGGCGGCTCCGGAAAGTGTAGGTCCTTTCTCCTTCGGGATTGAGAGTGGATGTTTGCATTATGTGACCTTCACTAATGAGCTAATCTCGCCTAATTCTCTAATAACAATAATAAAGTTAATTAAATGACCGTTATTCAAAGGTCTAGTCGGAGATGAAATCATTTCAATGGTCAAGAATGACCGTTATTTCCTCTATTTCATTCAAAACAGCCAACCCAGTCTTCAAATCACAATCTTTCTTGTCCAAAGCACCATTCCAATGTCAAAGAGTCAACGTTGGACCAAGAAGAAACACACGCACGCGGCTCTACATCTCCAACCAGCTTCTATGATGTCCTCAAGTTATTGATATGTAATTATCCTGTGTTAGATGTAAAAATTGAATTGTAAATTGTTTTGTACCTTGTAATTGGAATTTTACAATATATTTAAACAGTCGGAAAAGTTTTTATATATGAAGTACAATAGCAATATTAACTGAAAACGAGAACCCTCTGCTCATAATGTTGACATTTGAAGAGTAAAGATCCAAAATCACAACTACAAATCAATGTATCTGAAATGCAAGTCTAAAAATGCTCTGCCTTTGTTGAATTGTATAAGCTCGAGAAATTTTTGTATGTTCCGATTACACCTAGTTCTTCATCCACATTTGGCCACAACTAGAGTGTGGTAATGAGGATTAATAAGTTTCTCCAACCAGGCATAAAAACTTCGCACATTAATCCGCTTCAGCATTAAATGGACATCCTTCAGATTGGGAACCCTTCCCAATCTTAATTGTAGTTCTGCGTGGTCTCCAATACAATGAAAAGTGGTAAGATTGATGACATTAATCAGGCGAATCGATCTCAACCCTTCACATCTCTTCACCACCAACATTTTCAAACAATCAAGTTTGTCAAAGTGCAAGCTTTCGAAACCACAGCACCGTTCCAATGTCAAAGACTCAAGCTTCGAACAAGAAGAAAACATGATAGGCTCTACTCTTCCAACAAACTTGACATCACACAAAACTAGACTCGTGAGTGTGCTAAATCGATCAGTGAATATATTATCTAGCCTCAGCTTGCATGTACGTATGGAGAGATGCCTCAGATTTGATCCTTCACCACTCGGAAGCAGATGAGTAGGAAAGTTATAGTAGTCAATGGCTCTCCAATCCGTGCGCTCGGATAATTCATCACAACTGAAGGCAAGCTCAAGGTTTTTAACCCCCTTTGCTATAGCAAAATTGATCCAGCCTTTGAAGTAACGAGGATGCTCGTTTCCAAAGCAACATTGAACCTTGAAAGATTCAAGCTTGGTGCCCAAGTACGAAGCTAAGATTGCTTCAATGCTTCTTTGGAAATTTCTTACATTCCTAATGGCAACGTTTCCACGAGTATATGTGTTCGCATCATTCGAAATGATGTCTCGCCAATCAAATTCCAATGTTGACTTGTGTGCATAAATGTTCTTCCACCTGCGTGATAACGTGCTAGTGTGTATAGCATCCCTTATACTTAGCAGGTCAACAATTGAACAAAGAACATCATTAGGCAATGCACTAATACGATCCTTGCCATTGTCGTTGGAGGTGTCATCTGATAATCCACGCACTCTTTTCATGATTTCAGTCTGATCAAGAAATTCTCTTATGTCATTCATCCCAAAATCAATTATTAAGAAGTGAAGAGGTGCAAGAAATTATATATTATGATGATATAAGACTAAACTATCACATAAACATGTTGTTATAAATCCTTAATCACCGTAGCGCATCGAATTCTCAACTATCTATCCGAACAAACGAGAACAACACAAAGCCCTAATGAACTGTGTTCTCACAGGCTTCTCCACTCGAACACAACAAATGATTAACAACAAAGCCCCCGAAGACATTATATATTATTTAAGGCTCTAAGTTCTATGTGAGACTCTCACTGTCATAGATGGACTAGAAAGACCTAATCTTAAAAAAAAACAACAGAGAAAAGGTGTGTAGAATGAGTTTATGTATGTCTTAAGAAGAGATTGTTTTGCCCGAGAGATAGATAAGAAAGATAGCCAACAAACATTATTTGTTTGATATCCTGGTCACGGAATTATATAATCAAATATGAAAAATCAACCACCCAAAACCTTCCCCTATTTTATTTTGTTTTATATCCAATTTAAATCCAAAAAAAATTCCCCATTTCAGCCTAGCAAACTATCTCCATGTCCCCCTCCCAAAAAGACTCCCTGACTGACCAATCTGCCAGCAAGCAAGAAAAGCAGATTTAATTCCTTAAGCAAAACAATTACCAACAACAACATATACATTAACAAGAAATCACCAAACAAGAGGGAGAAACTCAGATCAGCTAGAAGAGCCAACATATACATTAACAAAAATCATCAATCAACCGAGAAAGGCATAGGTCACCTCAGATCTAATGATACAGAAATTAGATAATACTAATATTCAGAGAATTAAAGTTGAGGAAAGGCGTTATACCAGCTCTGGTTTCAGAAGTGGTTAAGTTGAGACGAGAAAGGGTTAATTCCTAGCTAATGTGTTTCTCTGATGTCTGTCTGTCTGTCTCTCTCCCTTTGATTCTCTTGTTTGTCTGAAAAGGGAAGAGCGGTTTATATGTAAGAGTGGACTGCAAAGCAACTCACACTGACGCATTGTGTGAGCCTCGTGTCAGGCTGTCAGCACCATCTCATATTTTTTCCCCTTCCAGATTCATCTTAGTTGGTTCCAAATTTCCTTATTGTAACGCATTTTACTTGCCTGGATGACTTTGATTATTTTGATTAATCTTATTGAACTATTGTCTTTTTCTTGAAGAGAGTCCATTTTTTCTGGCTCACCAAAGCGTGCATATGGAACAATATTACTCTTCTGCCTTGATCCTAGCTAGGTTATTCAGAGGGAACTTCATGACCTAATTTAACACTGGGATAATGCTTGGATGACAATGGGAAGAAAATGACTGGACTTATTAAATCATGGATTAAATGACTTGACATATATTTTTTTTAAAGTTGGCTCTTATATGAAGAGATTATAGAGTGATACCGTATTTCCACGTCAGCTGGTGATATTACTGCAATGTGTCCTTTCTAAAAAGAAAATTAAATTTTTTTCGCAGTTGGACTTTGTCTTCCAACTTTACCCTAAATAAAATTGAAAAACAGGAAAAAGAAAACAAGAAGCAGATTGTAGCAGTTTCCCACCCTGATGCCGTCGGCAATCTGCCTTCCTTGCACTGCCGTCCCTTGGCTGCAGTCCCCCTCCAATAATGCCAACATCAAACAACACCACCCAAAAAGTGGTTGAAAAAATTAACACAAAAAAAAAACCCATTTACTTGGTTGCCACATCAATAATTACCCTTCTTTCACTAGGGTGTTGTGTCATAGGAGATGCTCTTGAAGATTTCTGGTTTTATGTTTAATGGGTTTACACTGATTTTCAAGGTATCTGGCTTTTTCTTAATAGGTTTAACTTTTCACCGATAATGGGAGGAGTGCCTCGTAGCTTCGGGGTAGAGTACATTTGGTTGATTTGGTCTGGGAGTCGGGACGAAGCTTTCTGCTTGACCAACAATCTCCTCACTCAGAAACATCTGCATCATCAGGTGATGAGGCTACTTTGCTTCAAAAATTACCAAAAAACTACAAAGTGATGAGGCTAATATGAACAATCCAAACAAATTTAACAGTCCAGATGGAAATAAGAAAAAGGGGAAATTTTTAAAATAGGATTTTCAAGGTTTAGCCAACAAACCAATAATTAACTTTTGCCTTGGAAGCAATGATTCCTCGTGAGGGATCATGACATTGACATGGTTCTAAAACATATTTCACATTCGATTAAATTGTCCAAGGCACATCCTAGATACTGTAAAAAGTCAATGATCGATGTTGACTTATTGTTATGTTCTACTTCTATGGCCAGCAAGCGAGCACCTCAATTTTCCACTTCTATAAAGCAGCCAATTAAGCCTGAAAACTAAGAACAAGGTATACCTAATGGCTTCTGATCCCGAAGGGCAGCAAAAGCAAGTTGGTGGGCACGGGGAAATTGGCCACAAGAGTCTCTTAGAGAGCGATGCTCTTTACCAAGTATATATATTTACATATTTGATGTCCATAATTAATATTTTTCATTGCATTTTATTGTTCTTGCTCTTTGATTTGTTTTTGTTTGCTTTAAATTGACAGTACATACTTGAAACCAGTGTGTACCCAAGAGATCCTGAACCCATGAAATCGCTTCGCGAATTGACAGCAAAACACCCTTGGTAAGGTGGCGGCTTATCATATATTGTGTACATACGTTTTGGGTTTGAAAGAACTGAAATTTTATTTCTTTTATGACAAAAAAGGAATGTCATGGCCACCTCACCCGATGAAGGACAGTTCTTGAGTATGCTTCTCAAGCTTATCAAAGCTAAGAACACTATGGAAATTGGTGTTTATACTGGTTACTCTTTGCTTGCTATTGCCCTCTGGCTCTTCCCCAAGATGGAAAGGTCAACAACAGCAATGCTAGCTAGCATTTAATAACAAAAAAATCAACGATATTGTTATCGTTTACAAAAAACAACGAGCAATGTTCTCTTATCAGATTTTCTGATCCGTGCTTATGTAAATTTGGATTACTGATCAAGTTGATTCTTACTTGAATATGTGGTCCAAATTTACAGTTTGACAATATAAATAAATCTGACAAAAAAATATTATCCAGAAAACAATATAGCACACCAAGATTTTGAGATCATCTCAACTTGTTAGATTATATATGGATGGGTGAGATACACATTATATGGCATGCATCTCAGCTATATATATGTATACATCATGCCTCATATATATATTTTTTCTTTCAATAACCTTTCCATCCATGATATTCATGAATATAATGATTTTAGATATTTACATGGTTTGAGTATAATGATTTCAGATATTGGCAATGGACATCAACAGAGGTGGAGCTAGAATTGTAAGATTTTTTGGGTGGGGGGGGGGGTGGGGCGCAATAGAAAACACAAGTATATATTATTTTTAAAGGGGCCATTAATTTAAACCGCAAGTTTTCTATTAGTAAGTTGTATATATTACATTATATAATATAGGAGAGAGGTCAAAAAAATGAGGAGGCCAAGGCCACTCCAGGCCTAAAAATGGCTCCGCCACTGAACATCAACCGTGAGAATTACAAATTGGGTTTGCCCATTATTCAAAACGCCGGCGTTTTTCACAAGATTGACTTCAGAGAAGGTCCAGCCTTACCTGTTCTTGACCAAATGATTGAAGATGTAAGTAGGTCCATAACCGCCTATCTAATTAGCTGAAAACTTGATGCTGACTTGTGATTAAAAATTGTTATTAACCTTAATTACTACTGCAGGGAAAATATCATGGAACGTTTGATTCCATTTTCGTGGATGCTGACAAGGATAATTACTTGAACTACCAGAAGAGGATCATTTAGCTTGTGAAGGTTGGGGGAGTGACTGGCTACGACAACATCCTTTGGAATGGGTCTGTGGTGGCCCCACCTGATGCACCATTGATGAACTACGTTAGGTTTTATAGGGACTTCGTGTTGGAGCTCAACATGGCTCCTGCTGTTGATCCAAGGATTGAGATTTGCCAGCTTCCTGTGGGTGGTGGGATTACCTTGTGCCGCCGCATCAGCTGATCAACCCACTCTACCGAGACTTGAGATCAATTTCTCTTTCATCAAAGGAGAATCTGAGTTCAAATCTCATACTCTATCATTGTCAATTTCGAAAAAGAAAAAAAGACTGTTGTCAAATAAAATTAAAATGCATGTCTGCTGATGCGTTACCAACATTGCATGAACAATTACACATGTATGTTGTGAATTTTTCTGAACTCTCACCGAACTAAGGGGTTTATAATTCAAGTAATTAAAGTTAATTGCTTATGGATTCGGACTAGAATTGGTTAGAGTATGGGAGTTTGGTCAAGATTTGACATGTATTTTATAGTGATGGCCCACGTGGCTATAGGCGCAAATGTCCAATCAAAGGCTCAACAAGGAGATAGAGAAGCCAGAATGAGCAACCACGTGGCTAGAATTGAATGGAGGAAATTACAGTGACAAACATTTTCTTCTATTTCTTTGATGTTTTTCATGTATCGACACCGATAGAAGAGGAGTGCACGAAAAGTACATGAAAATAGACGTAAAGCGGTGTAAAAGAATAATAAAAAATGGAGAATCTGAATGATGAAAATAAGGTAAAATGATAGGCCGGATTCCGTAAGAACAAACCCCACCAAAAAAGAAAAGTAAAATATAAACCAATGCTCTTATAATCTTTTCTATTTTTTAAATTTAGAAATAATTGACGGCAGTGTTAAACTTGAGAATGATGACAATCAGAAAATGAGAAAAATAGTGACTTAAAACCTAAAAGAATAAGAAAGAGTTCGTAGGATGATTATTTTGGCGTGTCAATAATAATTATATCTTTTTTGTGTTTGTTTATACATTTCTAGTAGTTGTGTTTCTTTTTCCTTTTTTATCATGAAGGGAAGAGAGATTTGAATCCTCTTCACCAATAGAAGGAGAAATATTGCTATTTTGACAAAAAAAAGAAGTTGTTGAGCAGTATTTCTTAGAGCATGTCCAGTGCTTGGGCCTAGCCTGGGCAAAAGGCAGCCCTAGGCTCCAAAACCACCTCTAGAGCACAAGGTTCAGTCCTAGCAAGAGCTGGGTCCCACGAGCCCAGGCAAGCCCACGGGCAAATTCAGCCCAAGCTGCTACCTGGGCAGAATGATGTAAAGGACTCATTAGTGCATTGGTTTGGAGCAATTACTTCCTCAGACAAGGTTCTGGATTCGAGTCCTAATATCCGTATAGTGTATATGAGTTTAATATATTATCTCCTATCTCAATAGAAAAGGTTCTAAAAAAAAAGAAAGAAAAAGAAGTTATTAGTTTAATATTTTAAATACTGCTATATCAACTGTAATTAGTTGTCCAAAATTTGCAACCTATACTAAATTAATAAACATAATTGCATCATTTTAGAACCATGCAATGAAATTTAATAACCTTTTTTATATTAAAAAAATCTAAATAACTTAAATAATAAATAAAGATGATTATGAGAAAAGACATAGAGGCATGACGTGTGCACTGCGAGTCCTTCCTTAATTATCGAAGGAGTGGGGTTGTTGCTTGATTAATTCTTCGGGAAAAATGACGAAAACATGAGCACATCTTGTCCAGCTTTCCATTTATTTATGGTCTGCTGGAAAAAAAAAAGTACACGTAACTTCTCTATTTACAAGTCTTACGACTTTTTTCAAGGTTCAACGTGATCACGAAAGCTGAGACTCTGAGAGCCCAAAAATCATTTTGGACTAACAATCTCTTTTTTGTGGGGTTGAAAACACTTGGGATGGTGGGTGAGGCCGAGATTGATCGGTTGCCAATAGACCTCCTGGCTCATATATTTGTTCTGATCACTTCCTTCACTGATTTAGCCCAGTAAGTTGTTCATTTCTTTTCCAAATTATATATCATCATCCTGATTGATTTCAATTTTCCTTTTTTGTAATTTCTGGGTTGTTGGTTTTGTTGTTGATTTGGGTTTATGTGTGTGAATTTGTGAAGGGCAAGCAGTGTGTGCCGGAAATGGAAACAAGGGGTGAAGCAGTCTATGGGTCGCAGAGAGAGTTTGAGCTTTGCTGGGTGGAAGATGGACGATGACTCCACTGCACGTCTGGTTCGCTATGCTTACTGCCTCAAAGAGCTCGACATGTATGTCTTCTATCTCTGTTTTTTTAATACTTGCGATAGTCTAAACTGCAAAGGGAGGAGCATTTCTCACTTGAACCTGAAACCTCTGGTCTGCAACAGTCAAGGCCCTTTACCACTAACCCTGTTGGCATTTTCTCTCTGTTTTTAGTAGGTCTCTTATGTGTTTAATTCTTCATAGTTTGATTCATTTTTTTTTCTGTTTTTAATTCTTTTTAAGTGGTTGAGGACATCTTGAAAAGCAAAGGTTTCTGAATTTATCCATTTTCTTATTATTTGGAGCTCTAAGTGACAAAATTACAAGTTATAATGCACATAAGTATGTAATGTACTTTTTAGAGTCAGATAGACTGAAAAGTAAAAACCCACACATTATTTTCTGGGGTTATTCAGAAAGCTTCAAATTTCTGTTTTCTGTTACTTTTATTGGTTTTAATTTTAAATAAAAGGTCTGCCAGTGCTTAAAGTTTACCGTGCAAACTGCATTGCATAGGTGTAGATACTGAAATTTAGGCAAAATACTTAGAAGAAGAGATAATTGTGCTCTGAACTATAAGGGGTAAATTAGATGTGCATGAGGTTGTGGAGATGTATGAGGTTTGTTGGGTATGTAAGATTCATAGAGTGGCTTATGTCTTGTTGACAAGAACATGAAGGTCTTAGGATGAAATTCAGGATTTCCTAGCCCAAAGTGATGTGTCTGGGTTGGGATGCATATTATTCTCATTCAGAACTCAGTAGTTCAATCACTTCTGTGAAGATTAGGTTTCACTCGAGAAAAAAGTTCTCTGCATTGGAAGTGTTCTTCCTTTTTCGGGTTAGTACCACTACTAACCCATGACTCTGCACCTAATGCCGGGTTTAACAACACAAAAGATGTAATCGTTCTGTACGTTTCCAGCTTTTTCTTTTCCATCAGATTTGAGTCTGGTTACAAGGATTTGATTTAGATATCTGGTGTCATGTATAGCAGCATTTGGCAGGAAATGGCCAATACCATATATGTACGTCAATATTGAAGATGTACCAATTAGGTTAATTGATTATTTTGTTTTTGATTTCTCTACTCGTATACTCAGTTCGAGGAGCCGTTGGGGTTGCCAGATAAGTGACAGCGGATTGTACAGAATATCTTTGGCAAAGTGTATCAGTAATTTAACATCCATATCCTTATGGGGCATTACAGGGATCACAGATAAAGGTGTTGGTCAGCTGGTATGTGATAATCTTATTTCAGAGCACAAACCCGCTTGAGCAGTTCATGATATAAGTTTGATTGAGTGCTTTTGCTTAGATCAGATTCTCATTTGACTTTATTTTCCATCAGATATCCAGGGCTAATTGCTTGCAGCACCTGAATATTGGTGGTACATTTATCACAGATGAATCATTATATGCCATAGCTGATAGCTGTCCACACTTAAAGGTAAGCTGTTAGGTGAAATTAGAATCCGGGTTTTCATTTTGTGCCACAATGTTCAGAAACCCCCAGTTTTGTTCAGATGCATGCCCTCGCCTTCCTGTTCCATTAATCGATATCTATCAGGCATTAGAGTCGGCCATTTTCCCAAATGAATTTTATGGAATCTGTTTGTTCTGTAGATGGATGCCAATTTCTAAACCTCTGTGTGTATTGTTTATCTCCAGACTATTGTCTTGTGGAGCTGCCGTCATGTAACCGAGAATGGCCTTCTTGTTCTTGTAAATAGATGCCGCAAGCTTGAGTCCATCAATTTATGGGGGACCAGAGTTGCCGTGGACTGCTTCATTGCTTTGCTTACTATCAGTCCGGCACTAAAGATAAAACCCATAGGACTGCTAGTAAACGTTGATGCTTCGATGTTGCCGGTTGTATAAGCTGCTCATTCGTATAGTTGCTTTTGTACATTGCCGTATATATTTTCTTTCTTCAGCTCAATGTCCTAGATGGGAAGTTTGAGGTTTATTTATCAGCTCAATAACCGCAGGTTGTTTTCTTAATCTCTTGTTCTGTATATAATTCACATGAATCACATCCACCGGTATTATTTTGTGCAAGGTGTGAATAAAGGTTGAAATGATTCAAAGAAGATGAAGTAAAGAGTACATTCTATGATTGAAACTAGACCATTCGCGGGCTGAAGGTTGAATCTGAGTGAGTGCAGCGTAAAGATGAAGTAAAGACCTAAATCCCTCTTCCGTTTTACGATATTGACATCGAAATCGAAAAGGAAATGAAAGAGCACAGTACCTAATTAATAGTGGGAAAAGCAAACCAAAGAAATACAACAATTAGGAAATCCTAGTATTGAGAATACGAGCACTTCTACAAATGCTAGGCCGTACAATCCCCTATTCATACTACGCACACGCCATTCCCTAACAAAAGACCTGAAAACGCAAAAGAAACACGTTAGTACTCAATGCAATGTTTGATTGTGATAAAAATATGCGTATTCCACATTATACACAAATCAAACGTATAAAAGACAGACCAAAATCATTACAAATGTCAAAATGTGTATTCGACCAAAAGGAGTGATGTCTATTCAAAAAAGCAGTAACCAAGTGAACTCTTGACCACCAACCATATGTAACAAAGTAAGAAATAGAAATGAAGTTGATATGTACTAATGGGATATCCGTATTGAGCTTCTAAGGTAAAAGGTGAAATATATACGGTGCAACTGTCAACATATAGTCATGTCACGAGGAAGGCTACATACCTGAACTGATTCCTGGTACATTCTTGGTCCTTCACGGTCACTATCTACTGCCGATGCCTCTGCAACTCCATAATTCTTGTCCCAATAGAATCAGAAAAGTTTTTCATTTACAATCCATATGTCATTACTCTACCAACCACAGAACCACTACTTGACCTTCCACTCAACTAGGCAGGGCGTAACTGTTATCACTCTAAATTTTAGTATGACATAAAAGAAGCACCCCAAGAAGTAACTCACTAATGAACTATCTTAGTATTTAGACGTTGCAGTCATAACCAAAATGCCATCAATGGAATATAAAACATAAAGACAACCAAGCGATTCGGAGAATAGACTGTTGACGCAGAACTTGCAAACTGAACAGAGCCAGTAAAGCTTCCTGCATTATTGGTCACTGGACTTCTAGTTGGTATGGAAACATTCTTGCAAGATCCAAAAGGTGCTCCAGCCTGTGAAAACCCAACAGTAGAGTGTTTTCTTACAATTATTACTATAAAAATTGGTGTGTCACCACAAGAGTATAGGTAGATCAGTAGAACCACCCTAAATTGGCCTTTGATAAGTCAAGATTTAAAACAGAGAATCCACAAAGTCTTGGAATAATAAGATGTTGAATCAAGTTCAACTCCAACATACGTTGCATAACATTTCAGTGTTGGGACAAAATGAACATGTAAAGATCATAATTCTTGACCTTGAAAAATGTTCTCATTGAAATGATATAAAACCTTTCAATCTTACCCGGACACAAAAATACTACTTGGAAGCAGATAGAAAGGAGAAGGAAAAGGAATACATTCGAATCAGTAATTAGTCTTGACATGTAGACCATTTCTAGATTCAGATAGGCACCTATAATTAAGTTGACATAAAATTATATAAAATAAAATAAAACTCTGACATTTTGTACAAACAATGTTTTTAGTTTTAGACAGATAAGAAATGTTGGAAAATTTGGTGAGTTGTTGGACAAATTGTTAAGGTTGGAGAGAGTCAGAATCAGGCCACAAGACTTTTTAACCACTGGTTTGGATGGTAAAAAACAATAGAGAAGTTCACAAAGAACAAAAATGAAATATGGAAACCAGTACTACAAACAAACCTGGCAGGCACTGACAGTACTACACCCACAAAGTGTCCGGCCATTCATTCTATCAACAGCATCAAACACACCTACTCCATCACTCCTCTGCATTAATATCATTTTATGCTAGTTAAATGCCTAGTTGCATGATGTTTTAGTATTTACTTCTTCCTTCGCTAAAATTTCCATACCATGTAAAAGTTGACTGCCAAAAAATTTGGCATCGTCCCTGCTGCTTTGTAACAGGTACCAACCATCTCCTCAAGTGAAGTTGAATGCTCTTTGCAAGCTTCAGCTTCAACTGGATATGTTGGGAAATAATTTTGGAAGAAAAGAGACACACTTTTTGAATTAAGTGGCTTTGATTCTTTTCTCTTTGGGCATGAGCCTGGTTTGACCCCAGGATCTCCAGCTGAAACCCAGTAAGCATTCAGCTGTTAACTATACAATTCAAATATAATTTGAATGGAAGATGGTATTTCATATATGATTACTTACATTCGTTTTCCACCATATACTTCCATTGATAAGCTATTCCTTCTAGTGCTTCCTTTGAACCATCAGAGGTGAAAACAAGAAGGCGGTGGTTCTCTTGCACCATCTCAGTCACAGTGGGCCAATCTTCACCCTTCCTCGGCATTTTGGATACAGGAAACCAATACTTGTCTAACCCAGCCTTAGTAAATAATGTTGTTAATCCTTTTGGAGCTTTCACATAGTCCTCCAGTATAATGGTCACAATCTCTGTTGGGTTCTGACTTAAAAATGCTTCCACTTCTGTCAAAGTGTTAATTGCAGGTTGCTGTGAACAACCCAATTCACACATTATAAACAGCCTCTCAAAACTATAACCATAGAATTCACATAATAAGTGTTAAGTTGACAAGATGGAAGAGAGATTACAAATGCAGTGAAGTTGAAACATTGCCCCCGAAAAGAATGGCAAAGCCAGATATCGTTCTCGAAATCGTACACATCCAACATCAGTCCCCTCACTCCATTCTTAAAACAGTATCACACAAGTTAAGACAGAGGTTTGTATAATTAAGGAATAAGAGATGCAATCACAGATAATTTCATTCTAATTTTAAATTCCAAGAAACAAAGTAAAAGAAAGGAATAACATTCCAAACGTATCATACTCTGCTGTTTTCAGTGACTTGATGATTTCGTTTTTAAGAAACTAAAGAAACAGAAACCGTAAAGTTCAATTCTCATCTCCTTAGTTTCTCCTCAAACTCTTAGAAACCAAAACTGGCATAAAGAGAACTGAAAGCACATACCCTTAACTGATTAGTAACAGTGTCTTCTTGATTGAAAAATGTCAGTCTTTGAACACCGGGCAAAGGCGGTGCATCAACGATGCTGAAAGAGTTATGAGTCACCAACCATGTGTACTTGTTGAAAGGCAACCCATTAATCTACAACATCAAGAAATTGCAAAAAACTACTAAGACCCATTATCAAATTCATTCAAAGAAAAAAGGAGCCGACAACAATTTCTTGAATTTTGCTCAAAATAGCTCAAACCCATCACAAATATACGAATTTGAAGTCCAAAAAGCTTACAATTGAAGTGGGTGCGGTTGCTTGGCCTCTGGTACAGACGGGTTGATTCTTGCCCGAAGCAGGGCAGTTGCCACAGTAAAGACCTGGCCCACAGTCTGTGGCTGCTGCACAAGCTTCTAGAACCTGTAAATTATTGAACTTTCAGCTCAAATTCAGAGAGAAAATGCGAGACTGTACAGATCTTGAGCAATCAAATGGGGAAAGTAAAGAGAGAAACCTGGCAAGCGCCATTGGAGCAAGCAGCGGAAATGGTAACGAAGACTGAGAAGAGTAACAGAGAGAGGTAACCAGCTGATGAGGCCCTGCATAAGCCTCGGTGGTCTGCGGAGCACGGTAGCATGGCAATTTGCTTATGCAGGGAGCTCCAAAAGCCACCGCCCAGAGAGAGAGAGAGAGAGGAACTGAGGCAGTCTCGGAGACAAAGCAAAAGAGAGAATTTTTACTGTTGAGGGAGGGTGACAAGTTTTTGTGTCTTAAACGCGGGCTTTATCACCTTTAATTTTTCTCTCTTTTTTTTAAGGAAAAAAAGCAGCACTGTTTTTTTGTCTGCCAAGGTTCCATTGCTAACCCTGTCGTTTTCCTTTGTTTATTCTTGTTATCTACAGATGTTAAATTTATATTTAATGGAACACATTGACATTTTACTACCTAAATTTATATTTACTTTCATTTATAATTTTTATTTTTTATTTTTTCTTCTTCTTTATCTTTAATGATTTGACTGTTACAACAATTATTTATTTGACATATCGGGTGGAGTGTAAAACTGTATAAATATCAAATTGCCACATAAGCCATCAAATTTAAATTTGATGTTTGGTATTTGACATTTCCCTTGAAGACGCTCCCTCAATTCACCTGGTATGTCAAATAAATATATTACTTTATTGTGTGTTTTCTTTTGTGTTGATACACCTAAACCCTTCAATAAACAATGGGGAAAAATGTATATTTGACGCTACCTTTTCATGCTATCTAAATTGGTCGTCGCACCCTCAAGCGCCAATGTCTAGTTAGAATTTATGTTTTTTGTGTGTGGATGTTTTGTTGTCCAATTTTAACATTATCCACTCTATTATAAATTTTACTCATTGGTTGGAGATGCTCTAAAAAGTTATTTTTTCGACTTATAAGTTTTAGTTCATATGATTGAATGCGATAGCAGAATAACTTATTTGTAGGGAATGTTTCTATTTTTTCTCCTAATAAGTGATCAAGTAACTAGCACGTGAGTATATATTGCAAGAGGAAAGATGCATACACAAGTTTCTCCGAATAAATGAGAAATTACTAAGTTTGAGTGTAAATTGTATGTTTTATAGAAAAATAAAAGCCTTTAGTCAATTCCGTATTTAATAACCCTAAGAAAGCCCTAAGCACCTCTCCCTTTCCTTTTTAGATGAATTGGATCTTCACTTCAACCACACATTTGACTAATGTTTCCAAACAATTTAAGATCAACGGTAATGAGTTTGACAGCAACAAGGATATGACCTACAAAGAAAAATGAGATATTTAGTCATATATTTATTCTTAGCACTAATAATATAGATAAACCATACATCATTTAATTTTTATAAGCAAACTAAAAAAAACCCAAAAAATGACAGCTGACCTTATCGAATTTAATTTTGATTATTAAATTACTTTGATGTCCTATTGAGTGTGTTGGGTTTTTTTTAATGAGATTTTGGGGTTGGGTTTGTTTTAAGAAATCAATGGTAGTTTTGTAATTTAAAAGAAAAAAAAGGTTTTTTTTGTTATGTTGTAAATGGACTTTGGGTGTATTTCTAAAGTCCATTTTATATAGAGTTTTTTATAATTTGAATTCCTATATTGGGTATAATAGTGAATCTCCCAAGAAAAATTGGATTATTTTTTTTTTTTTTTTTTTTTTTTTTTTTGGGTATGAGAAAATTGGCTTATCTTTCCCTAGAATGAAGTGTTCCTCTTTATATACAAATTAGTTGGACAAATACACAAACTATAAAAAAAGAAGCACCATAAAAGGACCTACTAGCATTCGTGTAGTGTGTGTGAGTTTAGTATATTATCGTCTCTCTTAATAATAAAGGTTTAAAAAAAAGAAAAAAAAAAGAAAAAAGCACCAAGTATTTTCTGAATTTAACAATGAATTTTTGCTATATATTTATCTTTTTCTTCTTTTTTTCAGTGGTCAATGGTGGTTTGTCTTTGAAAGCTTTGGATTTTTGCCACAGATGATAAGGTACATATATATATATGAGTGCCTATCACATGGTAGGGTAGGCTTCAGCTCAGCGACTTCAACTGTAGGGCACTTGGGTCGGTAAGAAACATTAATGTAAAAATGTTGTCAGCAGTTGGTTCTTAGTTGTAAGTTCAGTGTCTAGACAACTTAAAGTTGCGTCCAAGAATAGATCTTTTTTAAGGCCAAAGGTCCAAGAATATATCAAAAGGGGGAACTTACGCAATCTGATTAGTCAAGGCATCAGGTAAATTGGATACATCTAAGCTTTTAATAATCAGAAAATAGTTGAGCCAGTCAAGGGCAGGAAGGTAATTTCAGATAACCACCATTGCCTTCAAGTTCTGTCTGTTGGGTGAAATTCATGTCAACTGGTATTTTTGATTCAGTATGCTTGTAACTTTTCCAGCTCAGGAAATACATTGGAAATAAACATGAATTGTTAGAAAATAAATACTATTCAATTTCTGCTTTGAGAAGGCAATGGCCTCTCCAACAAAATGATCAAGAATACATCTGTGGTCAAAGAAAATGATGCATCTTTTACCTGTAAAAGAATGGCCAAAAAAATTGTAAATCTAAGATTAAAATTGATTCAGGTTAAGCAAGCTTCTTTGCACGACCACTTGAAGGAGCACCGTCATCCTTCTTGGATCCCGATGCCTCAGGCTTCCGAGCCCAGGCAGGAGCTCTATCCGGCTCATAACGATAATCGTAGAAAAGTTCCTCTCCTGCAGTAATCCGTTCCTTGGCAAATATGCCCACCCTATGATCTCCAGCAACCATAATGACCTGCCATGGAAGGGTTCAATGTAAAATCTACAATTTTTTCAAAGAAAAAAAAAAAGCCCCTATACATGATGCTTCTATATGTCCAAACAGTTCTTACCCCAAAAGAACAACAAATCAAAAAAGTTCCAATTTTAAAACATGTGACGCTAAGTGGGGAATCCCCAAGCAACGACGTCAAAAGGGTACCTTTGCATAACAATTCGGATCTGGAGCATGGTTGGCAAACTTCAATTTGTCACCCTTTCGATAGGCATCAAGGACAAACTGTACAAGACAAATGCTTATTCACACCAGTGAAAAAGAGAGGCTAGAAATCACATGGAATCCAAAGGTTGATACACATACCTGATCGTTCAGATTGAAGAGAAATGATGAATTTTCACGGTCATATATTTTTCCACGCTTATCTGCTTCCCGATGTGAGATCAACTCCCCAGTATACTCACCAAGGTATTCATGCTTGCCGACGCTATTCTGCAGGGTGGCTAGGAAAATTAGCCAGCAGCAAAAGGAAAAGCACGCACAAGATATCTTAAAATTGGGACACTACCTTTAAGAAAGCACCCCAGCCAGATACGTCAGATCTTCCAAGTAAGACCTGAACGTACATTAGAATAAAAGCAGTCATTACTAGAGGACTTCAATGTCCAACAACTTTAATACTTTTTCACTTAAACGGCAGCTTCTGACCATGCATCTATAGTAGGAAAGAAATAGTAAAGAGAAGTTGATTACCCTCTGTTGTTGTTTCAGAAGTAGCTTCATATTTCTACACTCATAATTGTCACCTCTTTGGTTTGGAACCCCAAGGGACCCATCACCGCAACTGCAAATGACATTGAACAGTTCCTTATAGCAGAAAGTTGAACATAGAAAAAAAGCAGCTACCATTTTGTATTTATAAAAGTGAAACACAAATACAAACTCCAAATTTAATTTTCTAAAAAAAGAAAAAAGGGTAATTTTCACTTTACTACGGTAAAGTTTACCAACTTTTAGAGTTCAATACATCAAATTTTTTTGGTCTCAGTAGCATACACAGTTGATTTTCTTACCACTTTCATACACGCCGTTAGTCTTTCTATTAACAAGTCTGTTAAATGCTGACGTGGCAACAAATGTGCCACGTAGACTTACTCATATGATGACATGTCGTCCACATATATTATTAAATAAATAAATAAACAAATAAAAATAAAAATAAAAATCCCTCTCTCTCTCTCTCGCTCTCTCTCAGCTCTCTCTCCCTTTTTAATGGTTTAATTCAGTCTCTCATTACTTAATTTTAACTATCTGATTCTAAAATGTGAACGCTATAGAGATATACAGAGCCATAATATAGCCACAGCTTATTTAGGCATAATAAATTAAAAAATGGCAAAGTTGAATGTTCTCAACACTAAACGTTTAGCAAAAGATAAATCCAATCACAATAAGGCACGAGCTGTCTGCAGCACATTGATAATACCATGCATCATAGTCCAAACCCATTACTAAGTGATATGAAAGGATTTTCCACCAAAGAAAAAATAATCAGTTATAAGCTCACCTGACCCAGCAATTCCTACAAACATCCGGATCACATTCCCTGTCCGCAGCAAAGCAGGGGCACTGACGACTCCGGCATTGACTTTTCGCACAATGACAGCCCCTAAATCTATTCTTGCAAGTCTTAGGACACCTAGAAAAAAAATTTAAATAAAAAAAAAAGTTCGGAATTATTATTGGATCCCCTCAAGTCAATGGCGAATCAATGAGGCGTGCTGCTGACCAAGATAAAAATTTAGAAAAGAAAATTGAGTTATCTACCCTTTTCAGCAATAATTAAGAGGAAAATAAACGCTCACCCACAGTACTTCTCGCAACAAGTCCCATTTTGTAGACAAGAACACTGCTTTCCACAAGCTGTTTGGCAAGTACATGGATTATACTGCCTGCAAGGCTGATCTTTTCTCTCAGTAATTCGTTTCCTGATAGAATGGTAAGCAGCAGATTTCCAAGTATACTTCAAGCGACGAACTCTACCCCTTCTACGTAAAAATCTTGATCTTCTTCTTGCTTCATTATTACCCTAAAGTTCAAAATAGAATTATTTGTTAGGGCAGGGAAGGTCCTGCCAATAAGCAGATAAGCATATGCAGAAAAAGAGCATAAATCCATAAAAATCAACCTTGGAATGTCCTTCAACAAGGGAATTTGCAGCATCACCTTCTTGGCAGGACATCTTACTCTCTGAGTAATTCATATACTGAAAAACCTCCCAGCAATTTTTCATACCATTTAAAAGGTTCCTTGCTATTAAACAGCTGTAATGAGATATGTGAAACCCATTATAAGGAGACAGGAATAAGTAAATTAAGTATTGAAAACTTTCTACATCTAGCACAATTACACCATATATTTCAAAAGTTCAGGCAAACTGATAACGTAATATATCCACCCTAGGAACTTATCAGATTGTATTGATTATAACATTATAGGATTTCTTTTTTGGGTCAGTAATTATAGGATGCTATACATTACAAAATCAAGGATACACATAAAATATATATATATATATAGAGAGAGAGAGAGAGAGAGAGAGAGAGAGCTTCCATTGAGGGATCCCTTAAATAAGCTTATTTGGGACACCCTTGTAGGGCCCACTACACATTGTATTTCACTAATCCAAATTGTCTAGTTTTTGGATAATCATTCAAACATCATCTCTATAAAAAATCACTTGAATTTGATATTATTTGACCACTCAATTGAGTTATTGAAATTTTAGTACTTTCTTGAAGCACCGTGTTCATTGATTTTGTAGGACACAATTGGATGTCAACATGGTTTCCGATTTGTCTAATTTTTTGCAAGGATGATCTATGAATGTAGACTTAAAAAATAGATGGTAATGTATATGTATCAAAGGAAAATACAAATTATATCCACTGACCTGTTCCTGCCAAAAATCTCTATGCCTTTATCGAAAAGGCCTTTTTCAATAGTTTTCCATGTTTTATCATCACTTAATTCTTGTTTATAAATGTTTTCATCCACACACTCTTCTTTCCTCAAATTGTCATCACTACTAGTACCAGGTGGATCAGCGATTATCTCATCTGATGAACCATCAAGAACATCGACCTGAACTACTTTGTGTCTGCCCTTAGTAGGTGATTCCTTCCTCCTAAACCCTCCACTGGTAGAAGATTTCAGATTCTTTTGTGAAGAAGAACTAGTGTCTTCATTATCTTTGCATGAATTTGATCTAAGCTTCATATCACTTGGACAAAGACCAGCATTAACAATGGAATCAGAATCAGAAACCACCATTTTCTTCTGCCTCTTCTGCATGCAAACTAGAACACGCTCTGCAACTCTCTTGCTGTTCCTCTTGCCAATTCCACTTTTTCCTGCTAGCTTAGTCTTTGAGGGTGTTTGATGATGAGTAGCATCCTGCCTGGGTCCATTCTCTGAATCACTGCTTTCTGAGATGGCTTTTGCATTAGATGAAGCACTTTCACTTTGGCCAGACTTTACCTTCTTTCTAGCAGATATAACAGAAGACTTCTTTCTCGTTGACATTTGAGCACCATCTAATGATGTGACATTTTTTTCTTCAACATCACCAGAGCTCACTCTAGCAATTCTTTCAGATTTCAGTACCTGAAATGAGACAGTTTTAAACCACATAAATCATTTGTTTGCCAATTCTTTACAACATTCCCAGCTACACAACACACGTACTGATCGATAGCAATTTGGACCACATGATGCATTTTCGGCATCCGGAGAGCTCCAAGAAGGTTGTTTCTCAGCCTGACAATATTTTTCTTTATCAGTGCAGGGTATAAAAGTCTGGTCCCACATTCAGACAGCTATTAAACAATTACTTACAGGAAAGACAAGATCCTGTGAACATCCATGTAATCTGCAATCAAACACCTGCCAGAAAGAAACAGCAGAAGAAACTACTAAGAAAATATATCACAAAAAAAGAAACATGCAAGTGAATTTATAAAAGGAATACTTACAAGGCATCGACGACAAAATAGGTTGTCAAATGAATCCAGAGCTGCATCTAGATCTTTATCAAGAAAATAATTCCCATTTTGTGAAATGTCTTCATTATCCGTAGTTTTACAACCCCCCACAGCCTCCTCTTCCTTTACGAGAGTATCATATCTTGCCTGTATAAGACGTTTGATGGTGTTTCATATCTCTGTAAAGCCAGCACAAAGCAAATGGGAAACGGCTGGACCAAAGCTTACACTGACTGGTTTTTATCGTGTTATAAATTGGACAGAAGCATGGCAGAATGGGCAAAGTAGTCCAGTAATATAGAAAAAATAAACTGACATACCTTGACTTCAGAAGGACTTCTAGAGAAACACTGTGCTAATGACTCCAGCACTGGATCAGAGAAGCCAACTTCTTTTATAGCCATGCTGGTAAATTTAATGGAATGACAAGTGAACTAATTAGTTCACTTTGCATAACAGTATTAAAGAACATATACTTTTCTCCATATGTATAAAGGATAAGTACAAAACTGAAATTGTGAATCCAAGATGAAAACATGGGTCTCAGACTATATCGTGGCACCTGAGGACTCTACATTTAGGTCATTTTAAATTAACATGTTTTCGCAAAAAGAAAAAAATTGCAAAATAATTCAATTAGCTCAGTTGTACTCAGTACAAAAATTGACTTTGCTTTTGGTCTCTTTCCCTTGCACAGTTGTATGTTCAAAATTGACCTAGACGATAGGAGGCTGTGTCCATCCAAGAAAGGGGGGAACAAGTGACAATAACAAAAAGAATTTGACTCTTCCAACTAAAGTTCAGGACTATCACTAAGTATATCACATTAGTTAACATGGTTAAACCAACCTAAGTATGTAGTCTTCAGATTCAACAAAGTCCCTCTTTTCATCTTCTTCATCAACTGCCTCCTCCTCACTATCACTACATATAAGAGCTTCACCTCCATTTTGATCATAATAAATTCTTCTTCGACCTAACACTGACTGATCCTCTGTCATCCTTTGGTTTCTGCAACATACGTCAAACCATAATATCTCGAACAAGCTCAAATAGGTTGAAAAGGCAAAGAGAAGGACAATACAATTATATGAGAAACTCGTTATGGTGCTTCGTGATACTAATTCAATTCAGTGCACGATGACACACATTTGAACAGGTGCATGTAAAATATATATATATATATATATATTTAAAGCAATAATGGATGAATGTAATCATGCAACATTGTCTAAAAATTGCATGATTCAATTGCAAACAAGACAGAAGAAGAGGAAAAAGAATCCAATAAATATTATGAATCTTATCTTGTTTATAGCAAAGTGTTCAATACATAATAATAAATGTTTATTTTTGTTTACTAAATCTATTTCAACTAGTCACTCAATAAAATGTCCGTAAGATATTAATTTCAAACTACAAAAGAATATTTCAAACTCGGGTGCTTACTGAAATGTAATCGATTTGCTATGCACTGATTCCATTCACTTTCCTAGCTCTTTCCGTGAACATAGATTAAATTATATCATAACTAGGTGAAGCTTTGTAGAAGAGCTCGAAAATTCATAAGTAAACTTACAAATCAACTACTATGTTCCACAATGTAAAACATATAACTCCACCTCAGACAAGCAAACAAAGGTTGTGCACATGTGAGATTGATATGCAACACAAAGATATAATTCAAATCATGAAAAGTATAGATTATGTGAAGGTTGAACCTGTCCAAAAATATCCATGTAGTATAAGGAGGTAGTCTTTTAACTTCCGGAAGCTTGATAGGACGAACAGAACTCTTGACTGCAACATTAGATTCTAGAAGAACTGCTGTGGACCCATGGCCATCTTCTTGAGAGCCATCCTTACTTACATCAATTCCATTTTGCAAGGCAAATGCATCTTTTTGCCTCTTTGTCAATAGATCTACACTTTTGCCAATATCAATAAACCTATTACTTCCTCTTTCCATTGACAATTTATACAAATTGCTAGTGACACCAGCCAACCTCTGCCTGTTTTCCTCCATTCTTTTCTGCAAAAGGACAAATACCGCGTATTATGATGCCAAAACTTGATAAAGTCCTATGACTTTCTGATACCAATGCAACAATAACCATAAGGTCCTTAGGGATGCACCTTAATGGAAGTACCCCGGTTAGAAACAACTTGCTTCTTTAGGGAATCTATGATCAATGAAATCTCCTTCCGGGTTACATCCATGTTTTCTTGTGATGCTGTCATCTGTACAAAATAGATGATAAGTTTGAGCCCACTTAAAAACCCTAAATCATTAAAATAGAAAGTAAAAAAATCCAGACAAAAAGTAGAGAATGAATAAGCATGTAAGGGGCTCCAAGAGATCAGGCAGCACTATCTATCAAGAAGTTGAGCACAAAAAGCTCAATAATTCCGTGCTCTTTTTATTATTTTTTCAAGAAAGGAATATCCACAATTTCTGTTGCAATAAACTTTTAAAAATGCAAGCTAGGAAGAGAAAAAGAATACGGCTAGAATCCTCGAGCAGCGAAACAATTCTGGCAATGTTTTAACACCATTCCTAAGCTGGAAGATATTTGTCGAAAGTACATGGTAAATGAACTGGAACTTAAATAACCTCGTTGAAATTGGCACTTAAAATCTAACTGAAGCAGAAACCAAATAAGCAATGCTGCTAATTATCCCTCTTTACCAACCCACATTGATAAAATTCATACATAATTGCACTTATATTACATCCATTTATTAAATTCTCATAAAATAAATAAACAAATATATGCACAATATATATATGTGTGTGTGTTTAGGCACACACATTGACCAGAAATATAAGACCTTCCAGTAATGACAGAATTTAAACTGGGTTTTCATGCATTTAGAGAGAGAAAGAGATCGAGCAAAAGCATCGAAGGCTTATACCGGAGGTTCCTGGTGAGGCTCCGATCTATTGGCAGAAGCTGAAGGCGAAGCCTTCGACGCCATTGTCGGAGACGAAGCTCGGGGAGGTTATTCCGACCCGAAACTCAATTGCGGTTCGGATCGCTTCCGATTCATACAAGAGGATGTTCCGGATAAGAGTGAGAGGAATTGTACGGTTTAGGGTTTGGGAAGAGAGGAATTTTGGCGGGTCGTGCTTGAAACCCTAGTCACGTCTCAATTTGGGAGGGTCCGGCTTAGGATTTTTCCGTCGTTTTAACGAGACGTATTGCTTTTGTTTTTGTTTATGAATATGAATTGTATTATTTTTTTATTCTATGGGTTGGAAATTTCAAAAAAAGGTAATTTATTTGGTGGGTTTGGTAATGGGAAAAAGTTAAATAAGTTGGGGGGAAAAGGAAAGTCACCGTCTATTTTGAATTGTCTACTGTGCTCTACGTATTTTACATTTTCTAAATAAACTAATAAACTCTCAAGACTTTAAATAAAAGAGTAATAATCCATAAACAGAAATAAAATCCATATGTCTGCCTTTATCTATATATATAAAGGCCGAAGGACTTAAAAGTGGTTGTTCCAATGTGCATGTAGTCTGAGGGTTATACATATATAGAAATAAAAAGTTTTCCTTTTTCCAAATTAATTCACGCCATCAATTTAACTTCTGACATGAACAAGATTGAATGTAAATTTTCCTTTGTAGTTATAAAAAAAAAACATATTGAATGTCCTTGGTTGTTAAAAAAAAATATGTTGAATGTTTGTGTGTGATTTGAAAAAATTGTCATGGACGTACATCTTATGAGATATGAATTTGTACTATGATTTCCTCTGTCATGATCTGCTTGACTTTGTGTTTTATAATTCGATCCCCTTAAATATATAAACTTCTCGCTCCACTCCCTTATGCAGTTCTCTGTTTAGCATTCCGTTAAAGAAAACTATTGTTCAATCAATAACGTCGTTCAAACAAAGGGTTTGCCAAATTTATGTTCAAGTAGGAGTGTGCTATGATTTGGGGTTTAAATGAACAGCTTACTGGAATTGTGAAAATAAAAATCACAAGGTCAGCTTTTGATAAATTACTTATTAGAGATGCTTTGATTCATCTACTTAAAGAACCTTTGGATGTTTAAGCAAATGGACAAACTTTAATTTGCAAGTTAACATAAAAATATACAAGAGTGTACTTCTTCATGCGAGCACAGCCTCCGTGAACTCTGCATCCTCTGCCATAGCATGTAGAGTCTCAGGCAAAAGGCAAACTTCAAAATCAATACTTCCTTCTTCGCCCTGGGAAAGACAGTTAACTTACCGTTCATTTTGTTCGCAGATCCGCTTTGTACAGCAACCGGTCTTCCCCACCTAAAATCATTACCATGCACATTGAACTGCGGCGAGCTTCCTGTGAGCAATGAAAAAGTGCTACTAGTAGTACTTGTTGGGATGTTTTCCCTCAATTTTGAACTTACTGTAGGGGTTTTTGCCCAATCCTCCAAGACCTCTTGTTCAGCTGTCAAGGAAGCTATCGTTTTGTTTATATGCAAAGCCGCCCAGCCTAGTTCATGTTGTAAAAGCTCCCCTGCAGTGGACTTCACATGAACTCCTTGAAGCGCATTTCCAAGGTACTCTTTGGGCAATGGAGGTTTCAATTTTTGCCTCAATCCTACTGAAATCTTGTAGATAATCTCCTGATCAAGGTTGAGATGACTGGCACGTGTTACGGCTCGCCAAAGATGAGCTATGAGTGCTTGAAGGGATGAGATGTTATGAGTACCCATCTCAGCATTGGCCTTGGATTTGAGCTGTGCAGTTTTCTCCTTGGAAAAATGAAATACCCCTTGCAAATAATTTAATGAAATGGGAGGATTAAGCTTATCCGGTATTTTACTGTATGAGAAGCGTATGTGAATTGGAAGATCAAATACACCGTCAAGAAATTGACGATCGAAAACAGGAGGGGGTTGAAAATTTTCATCAGAGCCGGAACGAGAGATCTCAGACCAAGTGTTGAAGAAGTGCCAGAATGATGATCCATCAACAACACAGTGGTTCATAGTGCAACCTACGAAAATGCCATCAATGAGCTCAGTTACTTGCACTGCAAGCAATGGTTTTGGGACCCCTTCGTAGTTCAAAACCCCATTCATGGAGAAGAGGTTGGAGACAATGTCATCTGGAATATAAAACAGGGTCAAGGATATCGGCCACCATGATACCATCAGCAGCTGCATGAACAAAAAGAGCTCCATCACCGTTACAGTTGATGGAAAAACAAGTACCGGCTTTATCTTGGCTTTCAACAGCGGCTAGGCGGCCAGCAAGCGGGTAGAAGATATTAAAGGTCTGGGAAGAGTGGCTTTTAGGTGTTGTATCAAGCTGTTGCTCTGTTCTGACTCTGCCGATTTTCGAAAGAGAAGCCCCTTTTGGATATAATCAAGTTGGCTTAGTTTCAAATCCCATGGAGTTAACTCAATTAATCTCTGCTTTAAGTGATCATGGCTTGTTGGCCGGACAATAGTTGTCGAGATCTGAGCCATTTTTATTTTCCCAATTTAAGTGGACAACACTGAGACTAGACCACAACATTAAACGTTGAATGATGACACTGTTGTGAGTATGGTTAGAAGGCTATGCCATTTTTCTAGTGCCTTGGACTGAGACTCAAAAATAAACAAACCCAATCCACCGTGGAGAAATGCTGACGGCCTAGATGAAATCTGCCAAGAGCGAGATCCACCGAACCTGTTCCGCCAAAGGGATGGGAGCAATGCCGCCAATTCCAATCTACCAACTCTAATTAGCCCAAATCTCAAATGGCCAATAAATTCTCCAATTGGCTATGAGAAGAAAACACAAGTTTTTGTAAGAGTTCTTGACTTCAATAGTCAAAGGCTATGGCATATATATTAATAACTAAATATGACAGTTTTCTCGGTGGATCTTGGAGCTCCCACGCCAACTTCTGTGGATTCTCAAACAAATCTAGAATCTCCAATATCCGAATATTTGGAGAACTCAATATGTGGCCAATATTCGAATATTTGGAGAGCTCAAAGATGGTCCCACGTGGAGCCAAGCCCCAAATGCAAATCCAAAAACTCGGAGGTCCAAGCCTAGGCCACGGATCCAAACACAAGATTTCCGAACGGAGGCCTTACAAAGAAAGAGATCAAGAGGAGTGATGACAATGTAGGCCCAAAATAACAAATAGCTTAAAAAGTATGAAAACCCTAAAATCAAACCCTACAAACAACAAGTCGCGACATTCCCGAATCCACTGCGGAGATGGTGGCTTTGCTTAAGATGGATGATATAACAAGATAAGCATGGGTATTTCTTTAACTTAAAATAGTAGAACAGAAAAATATGAGATATAAACCAAATGTATAATCTATAAACCAAAGATGGAGAGATACGAATTCAATTTCTCATCATTATGCCGAATATGTCCCCAATTTGGAACAAACACAGCCTTGGAGTACTTGGTGAATTCAAAACGAACTTTTTTTACCCTCTTTGAACAGGGCAGGACTTGAGTGCTCTGCTCAGAACTTTGTGGTTGCATGTTACTTATGCGCAAATGAAGGAAGTAGAGTATGTGCATAATAATTCAGTAGTATAATTATTTCGCTTTGTGTTCAGCACCACACTGCGATGCGAGCTATCCATCACATGTGAAAAGCAAATGGTATTTCTGATTGGCAAAAGACGTGTATATAATGCTGGCATGACATGCTGAATTATTTAGTTAGTCAGAAGTTCACGTGGGTTCACTTGTTTGTTAAGTCGTAGTTGAGGAGCCAAGTGCTTCAGTCATATAAATACTGTACTGTAAAGTAGATTGAAAAGAGAAATTAATCAAAGAAATCGTAAGCTTCTTCTCAAAGTTTCTTGCTATGTCTTTATTAAACTTTGTTATGATGGTATTGTTAGGGGGTTTCGGGAGTTACCATAGTTAAGGCTCTTCAGTGATAATACATTAGTGTTTTAGCTATTATGTTGTTATTAGCCTTTATTAGGATACAATGGGTTTTCCGTTTCATTGTAACCACTATGAAGATATCTTATAGTTTGGGTATAAATATAAGTTGTAATATCTCAAATATTATAATTGAATATACCGTTTCTATATGGTATCAGAGTTAATGGCTAACGCCGACTAGCGATCCTCCAGTTGTCAACATTGAGAGTCGTTGGCGCTCTTCACTCCTCACTCGTAAAGGTGTTTGTATGTATAGTGCTTTTTCCTCTCTTCTTTTCGAAGATGAATATGTTTTTTTCTTTCCACCTTAGCTGTAGCCGCACCTTTCTTTTACCATTGCAACCCTTTCTTCTGTTAGCCATTGGGCCACTTCTCTCTGTTGAAACCAAGCACCAAACTTTTCCTTTCCCTCAGAGACCACACCTCTCTATTGTTGGTTTCTCCACTTGAAATCTCTCTCCACTTCTTTGTCTCCATTGCGCCGTCTCTCACCGATCTGTCTCTCTTCCCTCCGCGAGCCTTGTCAACACTCGCCAAGCCTTATCCTATTATGCAATCGTGGTTTCTCTCTCTCTCTCTCTCTCTCTCTCTCTCTCTCTCATGTATTTCTGATGGTTTCTCTATCGTGGTTTCCATAATTTCCCCTTGTTTGTTGATGCTGCCTGTCATCACTCACCGAGCCATCTCTCTTTCCTCCGTGAGCCTCGTCAATGCTTGCCGCGCCTTTTCTGTCGTGCTACATTGCCGTTGTTCCCTTTGCACAGCCCCTGTTTCTTCCTCTATGTTGCCGACTTGGTATCGGTCACTCAAGCCCTATCACTGTGTTGTTGCCTTGGTATCTATGCTCAACCTGTGTTCTCCTCCCCTCTTAAGCCCAATCTCTTTCTTTGATTTTACTGTTGGTCTCTGTCTTCTTCAATGCTCTTTTGCACTGCCTTTCTTCTTCTCTGTTACAAGGGTATTGTTTTCTTTTCTTTATAATTTTTTTATGTTACTGGGGTATTCTTTTCTCTTCTTTTCAATTGTGTTGTCTCTTTCCCTGTCATGGGTTGGGTTGTCTCTGCCATCTTGAGTTTCCTTTCTTTTTCATGGGTTGTCTTTTGCCTCTTGTTCTCTCTCCATCTCTTGCCTACTTTCTCCTTTTGATGGGTGTTACCTTTTCTCCTCTATTTCTTTCTCTCCCTTTTCCATCTTTATTTTGAAAAGATTTTAACTCTATGTGTTTTGCCCACACTCTCTTTTCCTTTCTCTGTCTCACTTGGTTTCCTCCTTTATTTCTTATTGTTGTTTTTTTGGGTCAATCATCCCTTTTTATTTTAATCTATATGGGCCTCTATCCTCTTGTGATAATCTTTTCTTTATTACTTCTTTGTTCCCCCGTGGTTTTCTTCCCCATACCTTATTGTTTCTATGGTGCTTTGAAATTCAAACTTGCCCATGCTCTTGTTTTCTTTTCTCTGTATCCCAAGTTGGTTTCACCTCCTATCCTCTATTGTTGTGCTGCATCCTCTCTTAACCCCTTTATTCCCTTCAAATATTCCTTCTTTTCTCTATGCATGCATCCCTTTCTGCTTTCCATGTGATGAATTTTCTTTTGTTTCCATTCCTCATCTTTATTATATTCTTTTTTTCACGTCTTGTTTCCAAACTTGTCACCTCTTCGGCGTCAAGTTTGTGGGGGAGTGTTAGGGGGTTACGGGTTACCATAGTTAAGGCTCTTCAATGACAATACATTAGTGTTTTAGCTGTTATGTTGTTATTAGCCTTTATTAGGATACAATGGGTTTTCCGTTTCATTGTAACCACTAGGAAGATATCTTATAGTTTGGGTATAAATATAGGTTGTAATATCTCAAATATTATAATTGAATATACAGTTTCTATAGGTATCATAGCTAGGTTTTTCAAATTTTCAATGTGAAACTTTTTTACTTTCACATTCTCACACACCCCTACACGTATGGTGCATTTTCAAGCTTAACATGTGGACAACACATATTGAGTGACATTGAGTACGTGTGGCCGTTAAGCTTTCACACGTGAGCTAACTCGCTCTGATACCATGAAGGAAGTTGAGGTTCCACCCTAAAACCAATTGGCAATGGGGGGGAATAGTCCAACTCCTTATAAGCACTTTTGAGCAATGATGGCGCAAACCTGTTCTTGGTTTTCTGAGGGAGAAACATGTTTTGGTTGGAGTGATATTTTTTGTTTGTTTACTATTAGTTTTTTTAAGTTGGCACACGCAAGCAATTAGTTTTTTTAAAAAAATTTCTAGAAGTAAAAAAGGAGTAATGCTACACTTACCATATTTTTATCCCACATTTATATACCACATGATGTGGCATGTCCATATTATATGACACATCAATTAAATCAATGAAGTGTATTTAATTAAGACAATTAGAAAAACAAATACTAGAATAAATCATAAAAGAAAAGAAAATATTAAATAATTTTAATCGATGTGGTTGTCCACCTCAACTGCCACATAAGATGATATAGGGATGTGGTATACAAATGTGGTAAGAGTAGCAATATTCTTTAAAAAGATAATGGGTTGTTGTGTTCCATAAAAATAGGACACATGATCTGATTTTATTTTAACTTTTTTAAATATGAAAAAGTGTGAATTTACCATATTATCCTAATAATTAATAATTTCAATTCTTAATTTTTGCATTAACCAAATGCATTTTCTAATATTTTGAATGTTTCACCATTCTCTGCTTTTTGCTATATATATATTTATTAATATATTATACAATTAAAGTTAAAAATAGAAAAGAAAAGAAAAGATGACATATTTATTTTTAAACTAATTTTGTCTCAAACCTTAGAGTAGATCTAAAAATGGGTAACCACAGCTTCCTTAAATTATAGGGTCCAGGAGAACGGTATGTCATTTTGTGTTTTTGTCAATTAAACTCAAAATATACCCTAGTAATTATAGGCCAAGTCCTTTAGCCGTCCATGGTCAAGTGGGCCATTTTCAATAAATAAACAGATAAAATACCAAAATCAGGTACTTAGATAATTTATTTAACTCGACCAAAAAAAAGAAGAAGAAAATTTATTTAACAGCAAGGGGTTTGTAACTCCTAGTTCGATTTTCCCTCTTTTAATAGCGATTGTATAAAAAATAAAAACAAAAATTATTTAAGTTGTGACAATAGAAATTTGCCTAAAATAGGTTATGCATGCATGTGCACTATTAATTAATTGTTTAGATGGAGGGATACTTCACTTTATTTTTTCTTCCTAAAATCTCAAATGTTCTATTTGGTTTAACTAAGAGCATCCACAATGGGCTCCCTAAACCACCTCCTTAGACAAATTTTAGGGAGGAATTATAAAAATGCAACTCCAACCATGCTCCCTATCTACCTCCTAAAATAGGGAGTCCTCTAGGAGCTCCTAAATCTGAGGAGAGAGAAAGGACTCCTAGTGGCTCCCTATAATTTAATGTTGCTTTATTTAATGAGTATTTCAAACCTTTATTTAATGCTAACTATTTTTTATTTTATTTTTTAATAGAGATTGACCAATCAAAAA